CTCCTGGCAAATAGAAGGGGAAGATATGGAGGCAGTGACAGATTTCACCTTCCTGGGCTCCATGATCACTGCAGAAGGTGACAGCAGCCCCGAAATTAAAAGATTTCTGCTTCTTGTGAGGAAAGTGATGACAAACCTCAACAGCATCTTAAAAAGCAGAGACATCACCTTGCCAACAAAAGTCCGAATAGTAAAGGTATGGTTTTCCCTGTAGTGATGTACGGAAGTGAGAGCTGGACCATAAAGAAAGCTGACTGCCGAAGAATTGATGCTTTTGAATTGTGGTGTTGGAGGAGGCTCTTGAGAGTCCCCTGGACTGCAAGGAGAACAAACCTATCCATTCTAAAGGAAATCAACCCTGCGTGCTCACTGGAAGGACAGATCCTGAAGCTGAGGCTCCAATACTTTGGCCATCTCATGAGAAGAGAAGACTCCCTGGAAAAGATCCTGATGTTGGGAAAGTGTAAAGGCAAGAGGAAAAGGGGATGACAGAGGATGAGATGGTTGGACAGTGTCAGTGAAGCGACCAACATGAATTTGACCCAACTCCGGGAGGCAGTGGAAGACAGGAGGGCCTGGCGTGCTCTGGTCCATGTGGTCACGAAGAGTCGGACACGACTAAACAACAAAACAACAACAGTGCTGAGATGTTTACACTTTTTAATCTTTTCATTGTTATTTTTATCTTGATTCTATTTTTAAAATTGTTGGACGATTGAAAATCACTTCACTATTTCTAATAACTTACTGCTAAAGCCATTATTAGGTATAAGGGATGCATGCAAAATTGGATGAATTAATTATAGGCAGAAGTTTACATATGACTTTCAGATGTTGATATCTGAAATGAATAGCTACTTACAGGAATACCATCTGCACCAGGAAAGCCAGTGATCCCTCTTTGTCCCTAGGATGAAAAAAACAACATGATAAAAATATAAATTTATTGTTTTTTGTTCTTTATGTTTACGTTGACCTATAAGGATTTTTATAATTACCAGTTCTCCCTTTGGCCCAGAGGTTCCTGGATGGCCTCTTTCACCTTTGTCTCCTTTGTGCCCTGGGAGTCCTGGGATACCTTCCACTCCAGGGGGGCCAGAGGGGCCTTGCTGCCCAAGAAGTCCTGGTTGGCCCTGAGAATATAAACAGAAACAGCTCCTGAGAAACCACTATCACACATACAATAATGGGCGGGGGGGGAACGGGACAACACACCACCCTTTACCTAACAAAGATAGAAAATGCTTATTTTGTGAACCAAGGGGGTGACCACAGCAATGACATATGGGAAATGCAATAGGTTTTGGATGGGCTGATTCAGTTCTTTTTTCTTTTGATCAGTGACACAATGGGAAATGTGAATCAACTGACACCACTAATCTATAGGTTTTCCTCGCTGTGAGAGACCCTTCTACTTTTTAAAAAGTTGCATTTTTTCATATCAGTTCAAGCATATGATCACTTCAACTGATGCAGAAGGGGAGGATGAGGTGTGCACACATGGGTACACACAAAGCATCTTAGCTCTTACACCTCATGAGCACACATACATAGAACAGTATCAGCACACACTTCCACAACAAAGCCTCTCTCCAAGATTCTTCTTTCTTCACTTTTTAAAAGTTTCTCCTCCAGGGCTACACACCTATTTATTTTATTATTTCATTTTTAAAGAGCTAAACTATCAAAGTTTAGAAGCTGTCAGTTGAGATAGGAAAAAGCCTGACTCACTGCCTATTAATGAAGTTATTCGAAGAGCGCCAAATGCAGGGCTGCAAGAAGAACTGCAAGCAGTTCAATTTAAGTGTGGACACTTAAAGCAAACAGACTCAAATTCCCTGGTGCAATTTCACAGCAATTGAACACAAATGAATCTGCAGTTCTTTAGATGTGCAGCTGCACCCTGATGTGTTTCACTTCTTCAAGCACTAACATGCTCAAAAACAATATGCTGTCTAAATGAGTATACAAAGCAACAACTCAGAATGTTAAACATGAACACCACTTCTAGTATCCACTCAGTCCCTCACTCAAAATGTTGTGCCTCCTCGTCTGTGTAAAGTGCCATCATCTAATTCATCATGTAGAGTGTCTTTGTTAATCTCTCAAAATCATTGTTGCCATATCGTTGTTGTAGGTTTTTCGGGCTGTTTGGCTGTGTTCCAGAATACGGTCAAACAGCTCGAAAAACCTACAACAACCATATTGGATCCTGGCTGTGAAAGCCTTTGAGAATACATTGTTGTCATAGTTCCTTGAAACGTAAGGCAAAATTTGGGCTCATACAATGGTGCCCTGGTTGACGATTACCTCGTTAGACGAGGAAATAGCTTAACAATGAAGTTTTTGCGATTGCTTTTGCGATCACAAAACTATGTTCTAATAGGGAAAAATTGCTTCACGATGATCAGTTCCCTGTTTCGGGAACTGATTTTTTGCTTAACGACCATCAAAACAACTGATTGTTGGGCTTTCAAAATGGCCGCCCACTGTGTAAAATGGCTCCCCGCTGTGTTTTAGGACGGATTCCTCGCTTTACAGGCACCAGAAAATGGCCACCCTATGGAGGATCTTCACTGGATGCTGAGGTATTTCGCCCATTGGAACACATTGAACCGGTTTTCAATGCATTTCAGTAGGATTTTTACTTTCGCTTGACGACGATTTCGTTCTACAGTGATTTTGCTGGAACGGATTATCCTCGTCAAGCGAGGCACCACTGTACTTTTGTACAGCTATCAATAAGAGAACATTTGACATATAAATATTGGGATAGCCATTGTCACATACAGCACTGATGGTACCTGTCTGTCATGGGTTTGGAGGGAAAGTAGACCTTCCAGCAGCTCAAAGACCTGATAGCGCTGGAACAGTTTTATTCAGTCCTGCATGGGGAACTAAAGTTCCATGTGAGAGAGAGGAAACCTAAAACGGTGACCGAAGCGGCGGAGATCGCAGATTTTATTTCCCAAATAAGAAAGCCCTTGGGTGAGGGGAAAGCGATGGGGAAACCTAAAGAAACCTACAGCAAGTACTCTCATGGACCAGGGAAAAACCAGCAAGGGGGAGGGGCCCATGTTGAAGGGAAGCCCTCAGACATGAAACCAAGACCTCAGATTTTGGAGGGAAAACCAAAACCAGATGAGAAAGACTCAAAATACAGCAGAAAATGTTATTTCTGTCAGGGAAAGGGCCATCTAATCTCAGAGTGTGAGAAATTAAAGCAGCTAAAGGGAAATTTGCCTCATGATTTGAGTGGAACCAAGCCAAAAGCTGTGTTCTGTGTCCAGACAGAGCAAAGCTCCTTGCCACTGAGGGAGCCTGTTGCCATGGTGACTCACTCTGGACCAGTTACATCTGCTGATCAGGCTGGGGAAAATGGTCCTCTTGTGGAGGTCAAGCGCTGCTTACTAGTGAGGACAGATTCACAGTTGTTTGAGACCGCAGGGGTGGACGTAGGAATACTTGACCATCGGTATCGGGGGTTAAGGGATACTTGTTCCCAGGTGACCCTGTGCCATCCAGATATTATTCCTAGGGAGTATATAATCCCAAATGAGAGCTTGAAGGTGGCAGGGATTGAGGGACAGGTGATCTCGCTGCCAGTAGCTGAGGTACCTGTGAGCTTTCAAGGCTGGAGGGGAGTTTGGCGGCTAGCGATTTCATCGACTCTGCCAGCAGCCGTGCTCGTGGGAAATGACCTGGCTGAACATGTGAAATGGGTGCTAGTGATTACACGCTCACAAGCTACCACGGGGACAGTTCAGGGGGGTACTGAAGAGCCCGAGGCTGAAGCAGATGAGGGGAGTTCTGAAGCTGTGGTGGAAACCTTAACCACAGACAGCAAATTTGGCCAAGAGCAAAAGGCGGACGCCACTCTCCAAAAGTGTTTTGAGCAGGTGACAGACGCCCAGCTAACACCTGAAACGCCAGTGAGATTTCTGGAGAAAAAGGGGATTTTGTATAGAGAGACCCTGAGGAATATCTCAAAATGGGGAGATGGGATCCGAAGTCAGCTGGTGGTACCTGAAAAGTATCGCCCCATGATCTTACAAAGGGGGCACTCTGACATGTTTGCTGCGCACTTGGGGGTGAACAAAACACAGCAGAGAATCACACAGAATTTTTACTGGCCTGAAATAGGGAAGCAGATCAAGGAGTTCTGTAAACAATGTGATGTGTGTCAGAGGCAGGGGAATAACCGTGACAGGACCAAAGCGAAGTTGTGCCCTTTGCCTGTGATTGACACTCCGTTCAAATGTATAGGGGTGGATATTGTGGGACCTTTGCCCAAGGCCACAAAGAGGGGGAACAGGTTCATTCTCACCATTGTGGACCATGCCACGAGGTACCCTGAAGCCATTCCCTTGACTAACATCGAAACTAACACAGTGGCAGATGCCTTGGTGGGGTATTTGTCCAGGATGGGATTTGCCTCAGAAATAATCACAGATTTGGGCGCATCGTTTACATCGAAGCTCATGAAACGGTTATGGCAAATCTGTGGAATTAAACACAAGGAAACCACTGCCTATCACCCCGAAAGTAATGGGTTAACGGAGAAGTTCAATGGGACTCTGATGCGCATGATTAGGGCTTACTTGGCAGAGAATCCAAACAATTGGGACCAGAAGCTGCAATCCCTTTTGTTTGCTTATCGATCAGTGCCACAAGCCAGTACCGGGTTCAGTCCGTTTGAACTTTTGTTTGGGAGAAGGGTGAAAGGTCCACTTGATTTAATCAAACAAAATTGGGAGCAGATCACCCAGGATGACCCACAAGATGTTGTGACGTATAT